AAAAAAATAAATAATCAGATATTCACAGATTTTGTTCATTAAGAACTGTAGAAAACTATAGAGAAAATATAACATTATTGTAATAAACTTTCATATATGTTGGCTGAATCATATTTCTCTGTACAATTTCTATGGAGATAAATGAATATTTTTTTCCTTATATTCTTTTTATTATTTGAAAGAAAAAAAGAAAAATATAATTACACAAATGAGATTTTTGCAGCTAAACTATATATTTGCGATATTCTCAAATAATAAGTCGATGTTTAATATTTTTATAATCGTGATTTTTTAATCAAAATTCTTGTATAAGATCAGTATCGTTAAACATCTCTTGATTTTCAATAAAAATAATCTAAATATTGTATTTATTCTTACTTTTTCTTTTTTATTTTCCGAATCGACAAACCGAGAACGATGAGAAAAAAAATAGAATCATCATTAACATAATGCCATGAAGTCGAACAAAAGAATATTTTTTGTTTCAAACATACGAGAAATCTATAGTGTTATCACTTTATGTATTATTTCTTAAATTTTACAATTAGCTAAATAGAAAGAAAAATATTAATCAGAATTTTTGTTTTTCAAATTATCCTAGAAAATACGTATTATACTTGATATTTCAAGTAAAAAAACTAGAAAACGATTATTCTCTCTTACATGTACAGAATTATATCATAAGAGGCACCATATTTTATTTAAAAAATGTAAGAACGAATAGTTTTTTAATTGTACAAAATTGTTTCAGAATATGAAAGTTATTTATAGAAAATGCAGAAAGAAAAAATGTTTCTTATTATGATATTAAAAATAAGTAAAACATCAAGACGTTTACTCTAAAATCATTTCTTCATGTTTCGTTGAACACACTTTGAATGTCCTTTTTTTTTCTTTCGATGATTCAGGGAAAACAATACAAAAGATTACTTTTTAAATTAAACAACTAGTTTGAATATATTCTTAATCAAGAAATTGCAACGATGCAGATTCTACAAAAGTAAAGTGTAATTATTTCAATTGAAGAAAAATGTATATTAGAATATATTGAAAAGATGGATTTTCTTGTATTGATATAAACGAGTTAAATACAAATCTTTGTTCATACTCTCTTTCTCAAAGAGAAGAGTGCAGCAAAAATAAAGTGTCTGCTTGCGGATTCACTTTTCACTGGTTGGTCGAAGAATATCGACCATACATTTGTATTCTATTAAATTATGTAATGACTAATTCAATAATACGTATTAATTAAATTAATAGTTTTTGTTTTTCTTTCTAGATTATTTACATCGATTAAACGATCAGCAAGTAATTATTTTTTAAAGTAAATTTCATTTTTTATGTTTAGGTTATTTATAATAATAAATCGACCAGTAAGTGTTTATAGATTTTAGTAAATTTTCTTTTTTATTTATTTTCTTCGTAGATTATTATCAAAGATAAATCCAACAGCAAGTATTAATAAAAATAAATGGGCTCCTGAGGCTGATCGGAGAATCCAATTCTATTTTTTTCTTATTCAATATTTATAATATATAAAAAAGAATTGTTCTCCGAATTATAGTACTCGTATAATGCTATTGATCGGCCAAGCAGCCTTATGCGAATAGTATATTTCCTAAAAAAATTTATTTTCTTAGTATATCATAGAAGTTGCATCAAAATAAAAACAATTAGGGCCTTCGGCCAGACTAGACATTATAAATATTAGTTTTTATATTCTTTGGAGAGTAATAAGGAGCGATGAGGGATACAAGAGGTTTATGGAAATACGGTGATAAATTCCAATCCTTTTAAATATACAGACCATTTTCTATCTGTATTATCTAGCGTATAAATGCAATCCTTAAATTTGTGTTCCACTAACTGATCGTGTCATCATTTTTACGCATGCAGCACTACTAACGAGGGAACCTCTCGCGGTATCAAAAAGCTTTTGAGCCGCAATTTTGCTCACAAGCAGGGGATACATAGACTAGAAAAAGCCTAGAAGGATAAGGGCCCATAGGCCTTTCTTCCAGAGTCACGGTCATTTTAGTGAATTTTTCACATATGACAAAATACCCATGGAAAAATCTACTTACAGAGTTTGGTTCTGAAACTTTGTCTACATATGGGTCTTATAATTCTTATCGTAACCTAAAAGTTTCAGGCAAAACTTATGTTTCTTTCACGAAATGTTTAACTTTCAAAAACCCTCTTATGCTACATACGTATCAAGAAGATCGACTTTTCTTGAATACCCCGTATTTTGTAAAAGAAACATAAGTTGTGACTGAAACTTTTAGGCTACGATAAAGGTTATAAGACCAATATGTAGACAAAGTTTTATACCCAAACTCTGTAAGTAGATTTTTCCATGAATATCAGGTCCTACTTATGGACAAAATATCTGCTTAAAAGCTGTTTATCACTTCGGATACTTCTCTTGTAAGACTAAGTGAGATGAAGAACATTTTGTGAAAGACAACTTACTGAATGTTGTGAAGATGTCTGATTTTATCTGATTACAGTCGTATAATGAACAGTTCTGTACAACCTAATTTTTTATTCAATACCACTATCCACTAATGTGAAATTGAATTATATTTTAGATATTTAACATGATATTGTTTGGTTTTCGCAATATTTGGTTGTTTCTATTGATTTTTGGGCAAACATCAGGTAAGAACTCGATAAAATTATTTACTATATTCTTCAGAAGAATCTTTGACTTATTTTCTAACTGAGAAATGATCACATCTAGAAATTAGCGTTTCCCATATATGATCAAACCAAATATAATATACTTATTCCCAGACTTTTCTCTCAAATTTCAGTCAGGAGAATCTGGTTGACGGAATCACTAAGGTATCTGCCGATAAAAGTTTGGCAAACATCGCACTAAATCCAACAGTTAGATTCTGAGTTTATGATGATCATTATTATTCGAATTCTATTTAATAATTCTATGATTTTTACAGGTATTTCATACAATCAACCAAAACTTTGTGCAAATGCAACGTGGAACCAGACGGCTATAACTTTTGCTACAAGCGCCACGATTGGCTCGGCACCTGTAGGCATGTATGTCAATACAAATAACAGCGTCTATGTCGCTGATCAAACGAATGGGAGGATTCAAGTGTGGCTTAACGGAAGTACCACACTTACAGGCACACTCTCGGGTGGCTTATCCGTACCCTATGGCGTTTTCGTTACGTACAATGGTGATGTTTATGTCGACAATGGCAATACAAATTATCGAGTTGATAAATGGGGATGGAATTCAACAAGCAGCGTTCCAGCTATGTATACCTGTGGACAATGCTACGATCTCTTTGTCGATGTCAATAATATGCTTTACTGCGTAATGGGTCCGTATCATCAAGTTGTCTCAAAGTCATTGGACACACGTTTAAATGTATGGAATATTGTCGCTGGCACAGGTACTGCTGGGTCAACATCGGTTACACTTTATAATCCATGCGGAATGTTTGTTGATATTAACTTAAATTTGTATGTAGCTGATACTTACAACAATAGGATTCAAAAATTTGCCTCAGGACAATTGAATGGAACGACAATAGCAACAGGAGCCATTGTATTATCTCATCCATCTTCAGTTATACTTGATGCTGATGGATATATCTTTATTACTGATAACGCGAATCATCGTCTTATTGGCTCTGGACCTAATGGTTTTCGATGTATAGCTGCATGTTCTGGATCATATGGTTCGTCGTCCAGCCAATTATATTTTCCACATGTCATGCGTTTTGACAGTTATGGAAACATATTTGTCACCGATACATCGAATAACAGAGTGCAAAATGTTTTTTTATTACCAAATTCATGTAGTAAGTTAAAACTAATTCTCTCATATGTAAAACGATTCGTCATTAGGAATATGTGATTGTAGTTGGGAGTGCAAAGACGTAACGCTCCCTGCTCTAATTGCTTTGATATATTCCTGTGGAAGCGTCAGTTTCGTGTCTTAAAAAAATATAGTAGCTTTTTATAAAAAGAAATGAAAATATGACACGTTTAATTCTAGTTTAAACTGCAAATATTTACCACAAATTTATATTATAATATAAAATCTATTTTTATTTACAGATGGAACGACAACAGTCACAACTATGGCCACAGGTATTTTCAAATAATTTTTTATTGACTTATTTTTTTACTAATAGTTTATATTTGTTTTTAATAGTTACTTCAATGAATAATACTCAATCAGTTTCTTTAACAACAACTGTTCCTGGAATAAGTTCTACAACTGCACCATATCTAAATCGTATGTAATCATTTAATAAAATACTAATTTTTGTTTTGAATATTTCGAGGATGTGGGTCTAGATGTGTGATAAAGATGTATAAATATACATCTCGCATACCCATCCTCACCCCGAATCATGAATAAGTTTTTTACCTATCTCGATCTCATAACTTCGCCGAATATGGGTCTGCCAAAGCCTTTATGTGTTCATCTAAGGATGAGCTCGAATCTATCAAGATCTAATAGATCTACGTTCTATGATTCAATTTAATAATCATTCAATATCTTTGATAAATATGAAATTAATGACTATATGTTTTTTTT